CTATATCGATGGCCGAGGAGGCGTAAACGATGATGCTTATGATGATGATGATGACGATGATTTTCACAAGCGAAAGTGAAAAAATGTAAATATGACGAACAATTAAATATTAACATTTAACAGTCAGGGTTGTGTGATGACGTATTTTATTGCCTTTTTTTTTTATTGTTATATAGGTATATCTGTGCGTCATTATATACATAAAGTCCCTTTCAATTAAAGCAAAAGTATATAAATATCGTGTGATATAATATGAAATTACTATATATCATGCAATGATTAAAACTTCTCTATTTCTAAAATCTAAACACTTTGTCTTCCCTTGCTGGTAACACAATAAGATGAAAAACTAGATTACGTGAATACTCTTCCGACACCTGAACATCTAGGACATAGGTCCTCTATAAATAAGAGACTAACTCTCCCAGATCCTAGAAAAATTTATAATGTGTTATAACAATACGGTCATTTTAATTAATGTGGGTTTTCAATATAAAATAATACATAAGCTTTTATTTTTTTATTCCTTACCTCGACAGTGAGTACATAGTCGCCCTCCAATAACTGGATCACCAGGTGATGTATATATAACATTGGGTACGGCAAATGACTTCCAACATTGTTGACATTTCGTTCTTTGTCGAATGTATCCAGTATTATTGCAAGTCGAGCAAATATAGCCTGCTGGATATCGAAGTGTTAAATTACTAGTAGAGGCAGTATTATTTCTTGGAGGAAGTGGTGGAGGATTTGTTGATACTTGCTGGTAAATGACAGGTTGTTGAGTTGTCTGGTAATAACTATTTGACGGCCCAGAATATATGTGAATTGAAGCAGATGGCCGAATTTGTTGTGGTGGCTGATACGGTGTAGTTTCGAAAGCACGGGAAGGGCCAAAGGCCATGGATTGCTCTCCTGAATTTGGAAAGGGTGAATATGCTGGTGGAGCTTCTTCAGTTATTATGTCATGCATTGTAGTTGAAGAAGAATTGTTACTAGGTTGTTGAGACATTGTTTGAATTTGCTTGCAAAGTTTTAATTTTAAGAATTGTCGTTTGAATTTTACGTTTTATAACTCATTTATGAAAGATGAATATAATACAGTTTTATGGTGAACAAGAAACTGTCAGTTATGAAGAGGAAACAATAGAATCCTTGGATGAATTAACAGATCAATATTTCCCAAGTGACGAAAGTTCTACGCCTGATTCTTACTTAATAGAGCACTGTAAATCATTGAACAGTAAACAATATGGATTGGTAAATCATGGCTCATTTTGGGACGAATACTGCTTAAATAATGAAAACGAAATGTTCTTTAAAAAGTCGTCAAGTATTTCTTCTTTTAAAAGCTATATCGATGGCCGAGGAGGCGTAAACGATGATGCTTATGATGATGATGATGACGATGATTTTCACAAGCGAAAGTCTCATCGCAAATTTGCGTCGGAAAAAAATCAGGATAAAAGTGAAATGTTTTGTGCACTTTCATCAAACAAATCTTTAAATTCATTTGATAAACTGACATATTCTTCTCAAAAGTTTAAACCTATTATTTTCGACCTTCCCAAAGAAAGCGTTCATAATGGGAAAACCCAAGAGGATATGTATAGAGCTGGTAAAGGTCATGTTCTACCAAAATACAAACCTATTGTTTTCGATCTTCCTCAAGAAACTCTTCAAAATGGAGAAATCACTGAAAATAACGATGATTTGACGTCATGCATAACTTTTGAAAGCCAGAACTTGCAATCACCAAAAAGAAAAAGAAACACTAGTAATGTGATGTCGCGTTTGACTTTTCTCAATGGAAGCGACGTTATGTCACGTGTATCTTTTATTGGAACAGGAGATGTTATGTCGCGCATTTCTTATATAGGGAATGATAAAGGATCATCTAATAGTAGCGTAATGGCACGCGTATCAATCGTGAATATGGATTCAGAGTCACTCAATGACATAAATAAAGTGACACCGCGTCTTAATCTTCTTTGTATCGGTAAAAACAAGCACACAACTGAAATATCTACTAAGGCAAGTTCCTTTAATTTGCGACTTGACAAATAGTTTATCAAGTGATTAATTAATTTTATGAATTTAAAAATGCTGCAAAAAACGATTCTATTTTGCAGGCTACTCAAGTTGATGATTTTTATAGCGAGGATGAAAATTCCGATGGTGAGGCTGATCGACAATCAATTACATTACACCTCGAAAAACTCACCATTGGAAGTTTTATCAACCATTATCCTTGTGCAATTTCTCTCAATCCGACTACCCAATCTATTTGTTTTACTAATTTAATGGCAAATACTAGTACGATTGGTGATACATCTCGTCTTGATATCCATATCAAAGGATTTGAGCATTATTCGAGAAATGACAAACTCATAGAATTGCTATTGGCGAGCAAAGTTTCAAAATGGTTAATACCAGTATGTTAAACAATGCATTTTATATTTATTTGTTTGTGTTTACAGCTTAGTTTCCATTTTGTGAAATTTTTATTGGTAACAAACAATAGGTGAGAACAATAATAAATTGCAATGAAGTACACCTTTCTATTGATCCATCAGAAGGTGAAATTGCTAAAGCGGGTAAAATATCGATGATTGTGTCTGATCAAGAAGATCTTGATAAGCTTAGAGCCATGGATGACATGTTTAGGTATTTCATTTTTTGGTTAATTGCAATTCGCAGTTAAAGGGTATAGATCTACGAAGGAATTTCCTAATTTATATATATAATAACATTGATAAGATATTTAATAAAATATTACTTTATACATAGAGGCTTTCACTTTCATATCATTTATACTCTTTAGCTGTGGCTCTCTTAACCTTTTTTATATTAATATATTATTTTGATTATCTGTAATATAGAAAATTACAAATAGAAGCCACAGATCCTTTGGATACTACTATAGTAACTTATGATAACACACTGGTAAAAATTTTATTAATATATGTATTTCTGACACGTTTCTTCTTTTATTGATCCTTATTTTTAATATTTTATATCCTTTAAAAAGTTACCGGCTTTAATAAATTATGAAAAAGTCCGATTTCATTATGATCTGTCTTATAATACTACACTAAAAAATTTCATCGAAATGTTACGAGAGCGCTTGAATTCAAAATTAATTTCACCTCCACTTTATTATACCTCTGATAGTAAAAGAACGTTTGTTATTAAAAACGAAGAAAATTGGGAAGAATGTAAGAAAATGGTTGCAAAAGAGAGGTATGAGGGTGAAAGTATCATTGGTAATGAAGCAGTTTTAGACTTGTATGTAACAAGAAAAAAAATATAATATGGAGGATAGCATTGAAATGTAAAAATATTGCTTTATTTCGTATATTGGGTCAGTTTTACGCTATTACGTTAAAAATCTTTTTTTTTTCTTTTTAATGCGGCAAGTTTTTATTATTAATCTTCAGCCATAAAATGTTAATTAAATTGGTCGTTTTTTTTTTCTTGGGAACATATGTACAGCTAATGTTGTACTATCATTTCTATGCACACGAATTTTAACGCTAATAAAATAGTAATCAAATCTATTCAAATAAATGTTTGGCAATAATATTAGGTACACTGATATGTACAATAATCATAGTACTATACAATTTATTCAAATATTTTATATTAATTGCGTTTATTAACCGTAATCGGCACATATTATAATCTTTATTTGTTACAATTATATGTTCTAAAATCCCAAAATATCCTCATGCCTTTGTTCCAAGAATCTAAAAAGACTACCTTTTGGTTTATCCCATTGATTATGCCAATGATAAGCAAATACCTGTAATAGTTTCTCTTGATTAAATTCTACCTCATCAAATGCACTGGGCATTGAATTACTAGGACGACATACAGAAGGATCGGTAAAACACCAAGGAACCGCCTTAAATGGTTTTTTCTCATTTTGTACTAATCTTCTAAATATTTTATAATATAAAGTTGATCCCCAATCTGTTGAATCTTTTCTTGGTGCAGGGCCATTAGCCATCTCTGATAAAAACTCACAAACATAAGGAGAATTCTTTCTAAATCTCATGAAAGCACCATTGAACGGAAAAGATTCCGGCAAAAAACAATCCCATTGGCCAACCCATTCGTGTTCCATAAGTGGTGAAAAATCGCGGATAAAGAGGGAATCCATATCAAACCAAACACCACCATACTTGTATAATACAAGAAGTCGTATTAAATCACCATCAAGATAAGCATGCCTGTCTTCTATCTGAAGATTTTTTGAATTTTCCATTGGTGTTCCTTTGCTTTCTTCTTCAACATCATAAAGTTTTGTGACAAATCGGTCAGAGTATCGATCAAAGAAAGGTTTAAGTACAGTACTATTTGATAGATCTCCATTAGACCAAAGAATCATAGATGAAAAATTAGAAGATTGTGTCGCAAAGAATGATTTTAGAGTTGCAAGTTGCTTATCACCAAGAGGTCTCAAATCAGTACGCCAATATGTATGATATATTATCTTTTCTTGTGGTTGACCAGGTAATAACCTTATACTATTTGCGAAATCGTAACAATCCCAACCATAATTTATAGGTATTGCAGGAAGAATTTCGTTATAAGTAATTGTTGATGGCAAATCAGACGAGTAAGGGATGTTATCAAAACATTCACTTAATCTTTCATATTTAAATTCTTCTTTCACTATCCATTCTCTCCAATAAATCCGTGCATTAAGCTGCAATTCGCAAAATATAAAAAATGATATAATAGCAACGATTGTTATTATAACAAGTAATTTAATAATTGTTGTACACCTTGCACGTTTTGGTGGCTTCGGCCACTGTGCGTTTAACCGTATATATGGTGTTGTTGTTGCCATTTAGTCGATAAATAGATTAATTATTTTAAAAGATAAAATGTCAAAATATTATATTCATTAATCTTAGAAAGTTTTTTTTTTTTTTTTTTTTTTGTAAAAATATCCGGGGAAATAGTTACGTTAATATACGCAAAGCGGCAACTTATAGACTGAAAAAATGTTACACAACATTTAAACCGATTTTGCAATTTGATATCTAGGTTTGATATCACTATTTTGTAACAGGGGGAACCGTCACATCATTTGTAGATCTGTTACACAATTCATAAAAATTTTTTTTATATTGTTTTA